ACCTGCCTCCTCGGTGGGTGTGAGGACTCAGTAAGTCAGTCCATGTGGAGGGTACACCGAGTGGAGTTTAGAGTGAGCAGTGGGCAGATGAAGCTTCCAGAATTAACGTGATTATCGATTATAGGGTGTTTCTGCCGGAGGAGGATACAGATCTCATCCAGCATAATCATCCTCCCTTATCCTGGACCTCTCCCAACAGAGATCCTTTCATTCATTCATTCATTCACTCACTCACTCATTCCTACAGATTCCCTTCTTGGTTCACAGAAAGATCATTACACAGCTGCTTTGTTTTAGGCACAGGCCTGGGTGCTCAGGATGCGCAGTTAACCTGGAACTTCTGGTCTACGGGGCAGATACAATAAACAAGTAGGCAAATTTAAAAATCAAGTTTTAAATGAGGACAAGAAGAAAATACGTCATGGGAAAGGAACAGAAAGCGGTGGAGTGGGGTCAGGGAGGGCGTCTCTGAGGAGGTGGCCCTTGAGGAAGGAACTGAGTGATGAGCAGATCAGGAGAGAGTATTCCAGGTGTTGTCAGGACTGACATTTAAGTGTGACTCCTCACTGTAGGAGAGTACCCCACGCAGAGGAGAAGAGAGGCTTTATCCAGTAAGCCTACTCTCTCCCTGTCCCCTGGGGAGCAGGACTCAGAGGGGACTGGAAACAGAGTAGGGCTGGGCTGGACAAGGGACGCAGGACAGGGTGTGTTGTGCTGGTTGGTGTGGGTGAGCGCTTCGGAGAATGCTGGCAGACAAGGGAGAGCTTCGTTAGTTAAAGAGCCAACATCTTAGTTGCCAGGCATCATCCTGAGCACTGAGACACAATAAGGAACGAAAGAAAGCTTCCTGCTCCGGTGGACTGACATTCTGGCGGGGAAAGCCAGACAGTTAACTACCCACAGATGTTGCAGTGGTAGGAACAGAGTGACTGGGGGTGTGCTGCTCTGCTTTAGAGGCTGATGGCTTCTCTAAGGAGGTGATATTTGAAATCTGACCAATGAGAAGGGACCAGCCAGGCAGAGCTCTAGGGGAGGAGCTTTCTAGTTAGAACAGCAAGCGCAAAGGCCCTGGGGTAGGAATGAGCTTGGCTTCTTGGCAGGATAGATACTCCTGCATGAAACAGGGACTGGTAGAAAGTGAGGTGGAAGAAGGTGGCAGGATGGGGCCAGATAACCTGCAGCCTCGCAAACAGTGGGAAGAAATGTGAATTTTATTCTAAGTGCATTGAGGAGCCGTTGGAGAGTTTTAAGTTTGGGGAGAGAACATGGTCAGATTTGATTTATCCTTCCGGCTGCTGTGTGGCAAATAGTGTGCAGGGACAAGAGTGAAAGATGAGACCCAATGAGACGGCTGGCAGTTGAAGAGCGATGGCGGTCACGGTGGCAGTGGCAGGTGATGGCAGTGGAGAGGGAGTGCAGTGGTCAGACTCAGGATATATTTTGGAGGCGCAGCCGTCAGCATTAGCTGGTAGATTGGATGTTGGGGGTGGGGAAATGAGAAGAATCAAGAACAGTGCCAAGGGTTTTGGCCTGAGCCCCAAGAAAGGATAGATAAGCCCTTGAGGAGGGAGTTGCCAACTGGCAAGTTGGCGGTAGAGCCAAGACCAGAGAACCCCAGTGTCCCGGGCAGCCTGGGACTCCTGCCCTTCCTTCATCACCCACCACCTTGAAATGACCCTCATACGGGGCAATGTCCCAGAGCCCCGTGCCTGGCTACCTTGGGACCGTAATCACCTGTGCACTTGGCAGCCTGTATTCCAGGAGCTGAATCACTGCGGCCTTGACCAGTGGAGTATGATTATGATTGCCACCAATTAATCACCGTCACCAAGGCTTGGTTAGTTTCCACAGCTCGATTATCACCCAGGTGCGATAGTCTGTGACCCTGTAAGGGAGTAGGGAGCTCCTCTGTTGGTGGAGCTTTAGCTGACCTCGTAACCCCAAGACACGACTCGGGGTTGTCTGCTCCCTGGCACGTAGACGGCTGGTTCCCCTTCTAGGGCAGCGGTCAAGGGCAGCTGGGCGAATGCTGCCGGACAGCGACCCGCTCTGAGGACCCTGGTTCAAGGAAGGGACTGGTTTATTTTGTAGAAGCTGAAACCTCAAACTTCAGGATTTGGGGAGCTGTGTCGTGTTGAAGCCTAGCCAGTGCTACTTTAGTATCCTCTTATTGCCCAGCAGTGCAGACACCCGTCAGAGGAGTCCAATTCTGCCACAGTCATAAGGGCCCATCCTAGACCGAGAGTCTCTCCTGCATTATTTAATTGAATCCTCAAAACTTTGTGAGGTGAGTCTTGCTGTTTCTGTTTCCACGTGAGCAAGGATGAGCTGTTTGCCCAAGGTTGGACGCACAAATAGAATTCCTACCCAGTGTATCCAGTCGTTAACTGAACATTTATTCTTTGTGCCAGGCATTATTCTAAGGACTGGCGAGACAGCAATGAAAAGAGACTAGCCTTATAAAGTTTATATTTCAGGGGGAGAGACAAACAAAAAAATCAGATAGGATATCGGAGAGTGGTGGGCCCTGTGAGGAACCAAATGCAGGGGGAAGGGTGGAGGGCACCAGGGAAGGAGTGGACAGGACAGCCTTTCTGGGCAGGGGGCGTGTGAGCAGAGACTGCATGAGGAGGAGCCCCACATGAAGATTGGGGCAATGAGCCTTCCAGGAAGTGGAAACAGCAACTGCAAAGTTTCTGTAGCTGGAACCTTCTAGAACTTTCTAGCAGGAGAGGTCATGGAGTTGGTCAGGAGCCTTGTAGGTCATAGTAGAGTTTGGATTTGGTTCTAATCGCGACAGATTTCAGGTCTACACTATCACCAAGGAAGCAGAACAGCAAAGTGCAAAGGCTCTGTAGCTGGAACCTTCTAGAAGCTTCTAGAAGGGGAGGTCATGCAGTTGGCCTGGGGCTTTGTAGGTCATAGTAGGGTTTGGATTTGGTTCTAATCATGACAGATTTCAGGTCTACATTATCGCCAAGAAAAGAAGAGAGTAAAGTGTCAGGAGCCCTGACTGGAGTCCCATCTCCAGATGTGAGACATTTCTGGGGTTGGGGAGGAACCGAGGAGGGAGAGTTAGAGTCTGGAGGGAGGGAGACCTGGGAGGAGAATCAGCAATGACAGCAGTTCTGTTCCTCCCGCTCCAGGGCTTCAGACCCGTGGTTCTCAATGCTCACTGTGCACGTTCAGAGACAATCCCATCCCAGACCCGCTGAACCAGAATCTCTGAAGGGGTGGCGCTCGCTGGGTCAGAGTAACACCCCTCTTGTCCTCCCCAGAGTTTGGAACCGGCTGGGACATTTCGAAGCAGGGAGGCAGAGGGAGCTCCAGTGTCAGCTGATGACTGGAGGATGTGGCCGCAGTTTGGCGGGTGGAGTGTGCCAAGGTGCCCCACCCCGAGGGAACTGGCTGCCCGCTAAGCTCACCACGTGGAGGAGCAGCCAGGCAGGCGGGTCCTGGAGAGAACAGAGAATAACAGACAGGTCCCAGTCAGATAAGGCGCCCTCCTGGCAGGGGATGGGAAGAAGTGACATGGATGCGGTAGCGTGTTTGTAGATAAACTCGAATAGTCTCGAAGACATTGGCTGTGAGGGAAAGGGAGGGGAAGACGGTGGGGATTCTGGGTCTCTGGGTGTTGTTGTGTTCCGAGGTGGGGCACCCAAGTGGGTCCTTTATGCCACACAGGGGCCCACTGTCTGGCAAATGGGCTGGGGTTTATCAGCTTAGGTTGGTCATGGACTCAGTCTTGGTAGAAGAGGGGCATCTTGGGTGGGATCCGCCCATTGGTGTGCTACCTGAAGACAGAAGTCCCTCCAACAGGGCCGGTTTCATTTGCCCCCTTCCAGATGCCCCATTCCGTACTAACCGGGTATTACCCCATTCTTACAGGCTTTTGGGCTATGTAAATAGAGCTTGGACAGACCGCCTTAGGTTGAATTTGGATAGATTAATTTTTCTAATTATAAAATTAACCCAAATTCATTATGGATAATTTTGAAAACGCAAAAAAAATCACATTTGACGTATTACTTTTTTCTTTTTTCCCATGCAGAGTTTTTTTTCTCCCTTACTTGGGAACCTATGGCATATTATCAAGAAAATCTTCTATCTATTGTTAAAATTTGTTCCATTGCATAGGGATTTTTTTTCAGATATTACCAACTTTTCTTAGGACTCTCTTTATGACTTATTTTCTACTGGGTGGATGTGCTGTAGTTTACTTAATTAATCCCCTGGTGCTAGAAACCTCCAGATTATTTCCATTTTCATGTTATAAATGCAGCAGGAGAGCCTTTATTTACTAAGTATTTTCTACATTTAGGATTGTTTTCTTAAGAATTCCAGAAATGGAATTCCTGGGCCGAAGGGGAGGCACATCTTTTTCCCATTTTTTTTTTATTGTGGTAAAATACAGATAACATAAAATTTAGCGTCTTGCCCCTCTTTAAGGCTACGGTTCAGTGGCATTAAGTAGATTTGCATTGTTGTTGTGCAGCCATCGCCACAAGCCATCTCCGGAACTCTTCCCATCTTGCAAAACTGAAACTGCCCCATTAAACACTGACTCCCGCTGCCCCCCGCCCCGTAGCCCCTGGTAACCACCGTTCTCCTTTCTGTCTCCGTGCTTGGGGGGATGCACATTTTCTTATGTTTCTGGTGCGTGTTGTCAGGTTGCCCTTCAGGTGGTTTACGTCAGTGCTCTCTCCCGCCAGGGATGTGTGCGAGCACCCATTTTCATCACCCCTCAGACAGCTTTGGGATTTGAAAAAATGATCTTTGCTGATTTGCCTGGTGAAAAATACCACCTGGCTTCAGCTTAGTATTTTTGATAGTCACGCCGTATTCCGTCCAGGAAGCTGTGCTGTTGTTTCAGTGCCTGGTTCTCACGGGCTGCGCGTTGAGGATGTTTCCAGGGTTTGGGTTTTAGCAGTTACACTGCTGTTAACATCTCTGCTTAACAGCTAAGCTGATTCTCTGCCTGTCTGTCTCTCTCTTTCGAGGGCACTATGACGCGCGGGCCCGAGTCCTCATTTGCCACATGACCTCTCTCCTCCGAGTGCCCTTGGCAGAGCTGGATCTCCTTGAAGAGACGTTCCTTGAGAGCCTGAAGGAAATCAAAGAGGAGGAATCTGAGTAAGAGAGCCCTGGACCCCAGCCCCGCTGTCAGGAATCGTGCACTTCCACTTGAGCGCACTTTTCAGATAACAGCGTTCCCTCTGCGCTACCCGCCCTCCCCCCCCCCCCCCATTGCATGGTGCTGTGAGGTGGAGGGAGCACTAGGACTCTCTGTCCAGTCACTAACTTGCTGTGTGACCTTAACAAGTCAATTACCCTCTCTGGGCCTCTGTCCTCATTTGTAGGAAACGGGAATTGAATGGATGATTGCTAAGGACCGAGCGTCTGTGACTCTAACACCCCGTGGCCCCAACACCTCGCTCCACCTCAGGCTCTTATAACATCTTGTCCACGGGCTGCAGTGGCCTGGGTTCAAATCCCACCTCTGACACCCATCTGCTTTTTGACCTTAGGCAGGTGCCCTCCCCACCAAGCCACAATATTCATGTCTATAAAATGCGAATAAGGATAGAGTCCTCCCAGGGTCATTGTGAAAAACGACCGTGATCGTGTTATAAAGCGCTCGGCCCAGCGCTGATGCGTAGCTCTTGCTCAGTGGGTGTGAGCCCTGCCTTCCCCCACAGGCCCCTGCCCTCCATGTGGTCAGGAGTGTGCAGGGGACGTTATCCTGGTAGCTTGGCCAGAACTAACCTAATGCCCGAGCAGTAAATCCATCCCATCGTAGCCGGATCGCGGGCTCCTTGCACCAGATGCGTCTCCCAGCCTTGGGATTTGTTCAGCCCTGATGGCTTCCTTTGAGCAGCCAGGTTGCACCAGTCCAGCCCAGTTGGGAATTCAGTGCTGAAGCCAAATTCGGGACTGGAGCCGCCCTCCTGCCAGGGTTTGTAGGACAAAGGGAAGGGGCATTTCTTTGAGAAAGGAGGAAACTTGTTCTGTCAAAATAACCTGAAAACAGACTCATTTTGACTCCCAGAGCTGTGTCAATAAAGAAACCCCTGATCCAGGCCGGTTAACATGATCACAGGGTCTGACCACATTCTCTGGACATACTGGGCATTGGTAGTATCGTACGTGCCTTGACACAAAGGAAACTCTTGGTTATTGCCTGGAAATCTTCTGATTGGAAGGACAGATGTTATCCAGAGGATTTGTTCAGCTAATACCAGTGATGCCAGGTCAGGGAATCTGTGAAACAGAAGTTCTAACACGGCTCAGCTCTGCCGCTTACCAGCTGTGTGGTCTTGGGCAAGTTGTTTAACTTCTCTGGGCCTCAGTGTCCTCACCTGCAAAATGAGGATAATCATAGCACCCTGCTTGTAAGGTTCTTGTGTGGCTCAAGTGAATTCCCACGTGTGAAGTGCTTCAAGCCAGCCTCGGACTGAGTAACTAGTTGGTAAATATCATTATTGTAATACTGTTACCATTGCTGCTATAACTGTGTCTGGGCCCTTTCCTCAGAAAAATATTCCACCTGTGTAAATTTTTAATTCTATTTTAGGGACTTTGGAGACCTCTCAGCTTCTACTGATGGTCTCTGGAAGGGTCTGAGACCCAGGGAAAGCATAGCAACTGTTCAGCCAGGAGACCTGGTTCTCGGTTTTGATCCTGCTAAGTCTCTGTGTGGCCCTGGGCACGTCGCTTTCCCTCTCTGGGCACCAGCACCCATTTTTCACCTGTACAAATAGAGGATCGAATTATACGTAGGTTTCTTTTAACTCTAAGCTTAGTTTTGTGTGTCTGCAAGGTGAGCTTATCACTTGGCACCACAAGACGACCATTTGCAGCTGGGGTTCGGGGTGTGCTGTACCAGCTTTCTGTTCTTGGGTCCCCATCTGAGCCCTGAGGCCATTTCCCCACTTGTTTGATGACTTCACTTCTCTGTGCCTCAGTTTCCTTATCTCTAACATGGGGATAATGGTAGTACCTCCATCATAGGGTTATTGAGAGATTACGTACATTAATACATATGCAAAGCTTGGACCCGTGCCTGGCACATAGTAGGTCTAAACGTGAGCTAACACCCTCCTGACGGTCGATACTGGTCGCATCAGAACAACGTCGTCCACATATAACTTTTATTGAGTGCTTACTAGACGCAGGCAGAAGTTGTCGTCTTGTCTGGTGCTCATAACAATGCCCCAAGGGCTTTGCAGAGGAAGAAACAGAAAGTCAGAGGGGTGACGTAACTTGCCCAAAGTACACAGCTGGTCAGTGGCGCCATCCGATTCAACCACCACAGCCAGTCTGAATGTCACTTACTGTATTCCTCAAGGCGTGGTTGGCAAGCCCAGGTTCCTCCTTAATTCTAAACAAAGCACTAAAGATAATTCTTTTATGGGGCTCTCTGAGCTTTTACTAGGAAAGTGGCTCCCAGAGATAAGCTCTCCCTCTCTATCTACTGGAGCAGGTGATTTAAAAAAAGAAGGTGGTGAGGATGATAAGGATAGAGAACACCCTCCGTGGAGATGAGATAGCAGAGAGGGAAGTTTATTCGTGGATCCATGAGATGGGCAGTCTGGGGGCTGGCTCTTCGCTAGGTATCTGTGGCTTCAGCCTGGGATTTGGCCCAAATCTGCATTTTGGCTTCAGCCTCTGTCTTGGAAGGCTGGCATGGAACGCCAACTCAAGGTTTTTTCTGGCATCCGAGAAGATGAGTGTGGCCAGTGACTGTATGATGGCATAGATTGCCACGGTCTCTAACCAGCGGGCACAGTCAGTAATAGGAACAGGGCATCATTTGAATTGAGTGTCGCGCTCTGGAATCTCACTCGCAAATACAGGAAGCGTTGTAGATGTAACTCAGAGCGGGTGTCTCCTCTTGTGCTCTCGATGTTGAAAGTCAATCAGACAACTGGAGTAACTGCAGGAGTCAAGCGCTGTGATAATTAATGATGCCTGGGAAAGCTGTTCATTTGGTGTACAAAGCAGTTATTCAGAACGTTCAAGTACTTAAATAAATAGGGAAATGGACTGGCAGTTCCGATGGACGTTGAGAATGCCGTAGCTAAATAATGTTAGGAAAAATATTCTTTTTGATTCAGCAGATGTTTGTAAACATTTAAATAATAATGCAAAGCAGAATATTAGAGATGAGAGTGTGTCATCCACCTGATCTTTGTAGAAGCGATTTGATATAACGGCATTCAGGCATTTAACTAAAACAGCCATCAAAAACTGCACTTACTCTTCAGTTATTTTATTCCCCTTAGGCTATGAGTTTCTCCCTCCATGGACTCAATTAGAAGCGATGACTGTCCAGTATCAGAGATACGCAGATGTCACTGTAGGAACGGCCTAGAAGCAGATGGTGCTGAGAAATATCAAGGGCACCAACTCAAGAATTTGACTATGTTCTTAATAATAAATCTGTAGTAATCATTAAGATTTTATGACATTTCAGATTTGTCCGAATATCCCGGAAGTTTCATTCTTCATGGTGATCAGCCTATACTCTGGCTAAGTATTTTTTTTAGCCAAAATGTCCACTCCGTGCCCCTCTGGTTTTCATGGATGCGGACAGTGAGTGGGGGAAGAGATCACTGCGGGAAGAGGGTCACGCCCAGTGCTTGTCGGGATGCTTACGTCCTGTTGGAGAAACATCTCTGCGCAGCCTCCGGGTCCAAGTCCAGGGCAAGCTGCTGAGGGTGCGGAGCAGGCACGGCTTCGTCGATGCCCTGAAGGTTTGGCCCTGGGATTCTCAAGCCTGAGATGCAGCAGATGCCTGGAGGAGCTGGTTATGGCAGTTTCCTTACACCCAGGCCCCAAGCTTCTAGCTCAGGAAGCTGTGCCTTGAACAGCTGCCCTGTGAGGATGCTCGTGCAGTTGATGCAAAGCCCACCCTTTGAAAATCGATGATCTAGAATTCTGGACTAATACAGCACAGAAAGTTAGAGGGGCCCAGAGTCTGGGCAGTTAGGTAAGCTTGGGGCTCAGGCAGGCTTCCTGGAGGAGGTGACTCTTGAAGGATGAATACTGTTTAGCTAGACAAAGGGAGGTGAGAAGGTCCTCGGCAGCTGTGGGCCGGCAGGAACACAGGTACTGAGGCTAGGCAGTGTGCCGGCAGGCAGCTCAGTGTTTCTGGAAGGTAAAGTGTAAGTTAGGGAGTGATAAGGCTGTGAAGGAGGCCGGGACGGGTCGCAGAGGGCCTGAGTGTCATGCTGGAGACGTGACACTATCCTCAGGGCAGAGGGAGGGAGGGAGGGAGACAAACAGTCGTGGTTCTACTTTCGTGCTTGACATCAGTCACTACAGTGATACTGTCGTCGTCCTTCCATTTCCAGTTGCTAAGTGAGAAAATTGAGGCTCAGAAAAATTGGGTGACCCGGCAAGATCATGGCACAGCTGGGCTCAAACACCTCTGCTCCAAACTTCCAGACTCCTTCTCAGGCGGTGTTTGTTGAATGAGATGCTGCTGACTCACACAGCCGGCTGCTCGTCCTGTCACGGGTTCCTATCATACGTCCTCAGCAGCGTGAATTTTTCCTCAGGCCTTGAACTCTGCCAGAAGCAACTGTTTCCAGCCTTCCTATTTGCACGGAATGATGCTGGCAATTAGGGGCCAAAGTGTATCTCCGGCCTGTGTTTAGGAGGAAGTTATCGTAATAATGGAAGGAATGATAGTGGCAACAAACGTTGAGCGGTTACTGTACGCCAGTCACTGTGTGTGGCTGATCTCCCTGAGTCCGCACGGTGCCCCTGGAATTAAGTACTATCATCATCCCCACTTGTTGGTGAGGAAACTCAGATGGGACAAGGAATTGGTGCCTAGTCACAAAGTTAGTCAGTGGCTCTATCTGTCAGAATAGGCTACGTTTTGCTGCAGTCACAAATGACGTTCAGCTCTCGATGGCTTACAGCAACAAAGGAGCATTTCTTGTTCATGCTCTATGCCCGTTGCCGCTTGGCTGTGACTTTGGTCCACACTCTCTTGGTCCTGGGTCCCAGGTTGACAGAGTGACCTCTATCTGGAACCTTGCTGGTCTCAGGGCAGAACAAAAGGAGTCTTATCAGGCCCCTGTACTCACTCTTAAAGCAATTGCCAGAAGTGGCACTCGGCCCTTCCACGTACAGTTCATTGACTAAGGTGGGTCGTGGGAGCACTCAGTTCAGGGCAGGGGTGCATAACCTGTCTGTAGGGAGGACCGGTGTGGGGAGGGATAGCTGAGTGTCCGCTGAATGGTGGCCCACAACCACCACAGCTGAGGCAGGATGTGTGTTGCAGGGGAGGGAGACATTTCCTCTACCCACTCTGGGTCCTTCTGACCGAACAACGAATTAAATTCTCATGAGGCAGAATAACAGGAGAAAGTCAAACAAAGCTTTATAACATGAATACATGGGAGAGGCTCAGGCAAACTGAGCACCTCTCCAAAATGGCAGAAGCTCACCCCTTAAATACCATCCTCAGCTAAAGACAAAGGAGGATGTTGGAGTGGGAGGAGTCAGTTACACGAGATTACAAGAAAAGCACAGTAAAGTAAGGTTACTATGCAAATTTAAGTCCTTGCCTTCTGCGTTGATAAGAGTTTCTAGAGAAAAGGTCATCCCCCTTCTTCCTGGTGCAGAGAGGGAGACACCTTTACAGATGGAGGTTTCCTTTACAAATGTAAATGTCTCTTAACAAAGGGTAAGTAAACTCTAGTTTTCAGAGTTTCTCTCATGTCTGCAGTTTTTAAAAGTAACCAGCCCAAAATAATCCTCATGCCACAGAGACATATCTTGGGGTGGCCAATTCCAGTCCCCCACAGTATAAACATAAATCCTGTGTTTACAGGGTTTGAATTCTGACATCAGAACCCACGCTCTCAGTCACCATTCTGCCTTCCATGTGGCTGGATGCATGCGGCTCAGCCTCGTCCCACACGGCTGATGGCATGAATTCACTCATGGAAAACCAGCACCCACAGTGTGCACAGAGATTTTTATCTTTGGTTTCTGCTTCTCTGTAGCGAAGCAACTGAGAAGTGCTGTGCTGTACACCCAGAGGTGCTTAGGAAGATGCTAGTTGACATGAGCTGGCAGAGAACCAAAAGCATGGCAGGTCCCCAAAGGCCTAACTCAAATCCCATTTCTTTTGATGGCTGGAGGATGGATTATTTCTCACTATCTGGGGCACAGACCTACACCACTCATCAGTGGCCATGCTGTGGCAGCAACCCACATACTAAATAGAGGAAGATTGGCACAGATGTTAGCTCAGGGCAAATCTTCCTCAGCAAAATAAAAAATAAAAATAAAAAAATAAGTTTGTTGATTGAATGCATGACGAAGGAATGAATTTAATCTTTGCAAACCAACAACCTTACAAGGTGGATGTTATTAACCCCATTTTACAAAAGGGGAAACTGAGACTCAGGGAGATACAGTCTCATGATGACAACAGCCACCGTATTAGTCACCACTTGCAGTGTGCCAACCCGTATGCTGAATGCTTGACAGACATTCTCTCCACTGATCCACACTGCCCTCTGGAGGTGGGTACTGTTATCCCTGAACTCTCTGTAACATGGAAACCATCATAAATCTGCTCCCAAGAGAAGATAAACCAAGCGGACTACAAAGCACAGTGGCCGGCGCATAGGAGTCCTCAGTAAATATTAACCATTGCTCTTCTTTCCTCATCACCATCATCTGCTATCACGCCGTACACTGAGTTGTCCAAACTCCAACTTCAGTTCAGAGTTCACGCTCCTAATGGCCACACCGTCCCAGCCTCGGTCTCTCGTCCTGCTCCTAATTGCCCCACAGAGGGCTGCCTGTCCCACGGGAAACCCCAGAGCGCTCACAGCAACCATTCTCAGGATTCACCTGACCCCAATTCACTCCAAATGCTTCCCTTTTGCTACATTTTATAGCTTTTAAATTTCAAGTCTGACCATTCTAGCTCTTTCCCCAACGCCAAGGTCCCCAGTACAGGCTTTTCTCTAACCCATCTTGGAAATGATTATTCTGAAGAAAATTGGTCTCCAAATGTCCCAGCAGGAGGTGGGCTCAGATGGCAGAGTCAGGGCAAGGATAGGAAGGAGGGAGGTGATGGAGTCTCTGATTCTGTTTGGTACTTGTTCTGGGTCCATCTGTTTAAAGATGTTTCTGTGCTTCTTTTGCTATTATTATTATTTTTTTGTCTTTTCATTATTCAAATTGCAACCCTGTTAGGACGGATCGTCGGGTGAGTAGCGCATCCACATACCGGCATTCCCCAGCTGGGTTTTAGAAGTTTTCAGCTTTTTAAAACCATCACTGGGCCCAGGGTGACCTTGGTAGCTTGCTCTGCATGACAGAGTACCCAGCTTTGATCCCAGCTTGGGGGTTGGTGAGGCGGGGTGGTCTCGAGGGGTCCTGGGCACCGCCAGCCCTAAAGACCTACCTTTTCTCCCCCAGAACGGCCGAGGCATCCCGGAAGAAGAGAGAAAACCGGAGGAAGTGGAAGCGCTATCTCCTGATAGGCCTGGCGACCGTCGGAGGCGGAACGGTGATCGGTAAGGCCAGTCCAGATGAGATGAGACGGTGGCACGTGGGCCAGGGCAGTGTGGAGCGAGGGATGACGCCAGGCTGGGAGCCAGAGTGGAGAGCGCAGGGGGAACAGCTGGGAGGCGGCCCCCGGCACGTGGGAGGCGCCCTGTCTGCAGTGTGTTCATTGGCATTGTTAGAAGTATCCTCAGAAGGGAGTGGACAGCTGACGGCCACATCCTCACTCACACTGTTACCCACCATGAGCTGCTTCACTTGCAGGCGTGACCGGGGGTCTCGCTGCCCCTCTTGTTGCTGCCGGAGCCGCAACAATCATTGGCAGCGCCGGAGCAGCGGCTCTGGGCTCCGTGGCCGGCATAGCCGTCATGACCTCGCTGTTTGGGGCAGCTGGAGCTGGCCTGACAGGTAAGGTTCAGAAGGGGTGGTGGGCTGCGAGGGATTTTCAGCCAGGGTAGCCCGGCTCCTGAAGGACATGCCCAGATTCTCACCTGCGACGGCTCTCCAGGAGACAGGAGAACATGGCTCTCTCACTCTGGGTCCCAGCCCCGCCAGAACTGCAGCGCGCAGCTAGGCAAGGGTCGGCGTAGGGCTGAGTGAGAAACTGGACCTGGTATAGACTTCCTGGGAATATCTGATGGGGCCTGCTGGCTGCCTCAGAGACCTGTCACTCACCAGCGTTTACCCATGGGGGACTTCATCCAAATCGTACTGTCAACAGCCCCCCAATCACACAGATTGTTGCTCCACTCCCCAAGGGGGTCCGTCACTCCCCACACTGAGAATCTTGGTCAGTCTGATCCACTTTTACTGAGAGGAGTGTGTTACTCCCCGGAAGTTTGTGGGCAGGAAAAGGGATAGAGAACAAAGGGAGCCAGGACAGAGTGGTGGGTATGAGCCTGGCCTCCGAGTTCCGGCCCCAGCCCTGCCACTCGGGGGCCGGCCGGCCTTTGGAAGCCTCTTCCCTCATCTGTATTGAGTTCAAAGCAAGATGTGTTTGTTCAGAGACAGGGCACACAGTCGGCGCTGACTGTGAGTGTGTGAGCACAGATGGCCGCTCCGAGTGACATTCCCTGGGGCCCCCGGTCACCTCCATTCTCGTTTTTGTCTCTGGGTCTTTAGGATACAAGATGAAGAAGCGTGTTGGGGCCATTGAAGAGTTCACATTTCTGCCTCTGACAGAGGGCAGGCAGCTACACATCACCATCACCATCACGGGATGGCTGGCATCCGGCAAATACCGTAAGGACCAGGGGCGGTGCAGAGGAGGATGCGGAGGGCGGTGGGCATTGGCTGAGCTGGGCCTGCTGCTGTGGGCCAGACCCTGGCCTAGGCTTTTGCCTATGTATGTCTTTTGAGGGTGGGTAAGGGAGCTCTAATTTGCAGAGGAGAAACTGAGGCTCAGAGGGCTGAGGTGACTTCATTCCACATCCATCTACTGACCCATCCATCCATCCACCCACCCATCCATCCACCCACCCATCCACCATCCATCCATCCATCCATCCACCATCTACCCATCCATCCATCCATCCATCCATCTACCTACACATCCATCCATCGATCCACCTATCCATCTATCCATCTACCATCCATCCAACCATCCATCCATCCATCCATCTATCTACCATCCATCCACCATCCACCCACCCATCCATCCATCCACCCACCCACCATCCACCCATCCATCCATTCACCATCCACCTACCCATCCATCCATCTACCATCCATCCACCATCCACCCATCCATCCATCTACCTACACATCCATCCATCGATCCACCTATCCATCTATCCATCTACCATCCATCCAACCATCCATCCATCCATCCATCCATCCATCTATCTACCATCCATCCACCATCTACCCACCTGTCCACCATCCACCCATCCATCCATCCTTCCATCCATCCATCCATTCATCTACCTACACATCCATCCATTGATCCACCTATCCATCCCTTCAGCAGTATTCGTAGAGTACAGTACAGACCGTGTGCCAGATACTGAGCCAGGCCTTAGGAACTCAGTGGTGAGCAGCACAGTCACAGCCACTGCTCCCGTGGAACATATGGTCTGAGGCAGAAGACAACCCAATGAGCAGTAACTACAGGGAAGCTGTATGGATGGCACAGTTGGGAAAGCACACATTATTTCTGAGGAATGAGGGAAAGGTTCCTGGAAGTAGTAACATTTAGGCTAAGGACTGGCTGGGAATTAGATGGGTAAAGAAGGATCAAGAACTGTAAACCAAGTAAAGGGGCAGCATGTACAAAGGCCCAGTTCTGCAAAAGAACCAAAAGAACAGGACGCTGGAGCAGGAAGCTAGAAGGCAGGAGTATGGACAGGACCAGATCACGCAGGAGCATGTGAGCTGTGGCGAGGATTTGAATTTATCCTCAGAGCAAGTAGAAGATAGCGAAGGACTTTGAGAGATCAGTACATCTTGGCTGTGTGACCTTAAACAAGTCATTTAACCTCTCTGTGCCTTAGCTGCCTCATTTGTAAAGTAGAACAAATTTTTCCTGCCTTTCCGGTACTTAAAAAGATTGTTAAGGTAGCTTGTAGCAGGCACCTGATTTCTAATTGGCACAAACATTAGTTCCCTTTGCTGCTCTACTTTGAACGTGTGTTTTGAGGAGATTCTAAGCAGGGTGGCTTTATGGTCTAACACCACACTACAGTCACCACCTAGCTCTCTTTTGCAAGTGCCCGGGGTGAGGCTCAGCAAACAGTCCGTCACTCAGAGAGAGCAGGGTGGGCCAAGGAGTCCGGAGCACCCTGGCCAGACCACAGGCTCAGAGCCACCTGGGTTCCCAAATTTCTAGGATCCAAGGGTGGAAGCCGCAGCTCTTCTCAGTGACACAAAGAAAGCGAGAGGGAAAATGTCCAGGCCCCGTTAAAGGCGTTCCTAGGGCCTTATGGGTTTGGGACCGCCGCCCCGTCCCCACAGCGGAGCTCTGACATAACTGGGCACCTAGTGCGCGCCCACCCCGACTCAGGCACTTACCCACAGCAGGAACTCGAGGGGCTCTACCACACGTGATCCGCTCGCCCCCTCGAGGTGAGGCTGCTCTTGTCCTGACCTGGTGGAAGAGGAAGCATGTGGGGTCACGTGGCAGGCGAGGGGCAGATGCAGGCTTCACATCTGGGTCCCCTGCCCACAGTGCGTGGGTTTCTCTTCCTTTGTTTTCATTATGCCACGCTCCAGAAAGACTGAGACAGGAAGGAAGGAGCAAGAGTCTGAGCAAAGGGTTTGCCATTCTGACCAGGATGGAAAGCATTTTACCCTCATTTCTTCAGTTCACCCCAGGTCAAAGGGCAAGATCGTTTTGCGGGGAGGAAGTTGTCATCAGGGTTCTCCCCCAGCAGCCGAGTACGGTGCGCTCCCCGGGCAGAGGTGGTTCGAGGAAGGATACCCAGGCCAGAGTAAGTTCAGGAAGGACACGAGTTGCCTCTTCCTGTCCCCTTGACAGCCAGAGAGGAGCCTGGTCTCCTCACAGGCTTGCTTCTGTGTGTGACGGGAATCGGTGGACTTTCTTCGGCCTACTCCTCTGTTAAATAGGATCGTGTGTAAGGAGGGTGACAGCTTTGTAGCTAACCGCTTGCTGGGAGCCAGGCACTAACCCCAGCATTGTGTACATCGGCTCACTTAGTGCCTCAGTTCAAGCCAAGGAGGCGGGCGTCATTATCACCCCCATTTTACGGATGGGGAAACCGAGGCTCATAAGGGCTGCCCAGGGTCACCTACTAGTCAGGGATAGGGGCAGGACTCAGCCCCATTTTGTCCGTCTCCATAGCCCGTGCTCTTGGCCACAGGGCGATCCAGTGCGGTACAGTGCCTTACAGTTTATATGAGGCTTTTCATGCAGCATCTCACACGAGCCCCACCACACCTGTGAGTCAGATGTTAGCGTTCCATTATAACAGGTGGAGAAGCTGAGGCTCAGAAGGGCAGCGTGCCTTGCTGTGACTCATGCAACCAGGAAGCTGCTGAGCTGGGTCCAGAGCCAGCGTCACAGCATGCCACACACGCACACACACCCCTGCTCTGAGCCTGGACCACCGTCACAGCACGCCCTACACACACACCCCTGCTCTGTGCCCACAGACAGGCTGGCCGTCTCCTTCTCCGTAATGAGAGACAATTAATCTCTGAGCTGTTACAGAGCTGTGACAGGGTCCCTGCAGAGGCGGAGGGAGGAGCCCCAGGTTTGTCCTTGTGTCAATGTAGCACCCATAGCTAAGGATGAGGGCTATGGGTCGGGCAGGTAGAGGCATCTGGCAGACGTCCAGAGCCCGCAGCCTGTGGGAAGCTGGCTCCGCCCGTCCATTCATTCATGGTGTCTTTCTGAGTGCCCACTACGCTGGGCTTTGGGAGCCTCATGCTCGGCAGACAGACTATGGCAGAGGCGTGCATGAAACAGGTGACGCAGAAACAAATGTCTAGTTGCAGACGGGATGAGAACCCAGGGGGAAAGTGCAGGGTGATCTGAGCTCCCGAGGGCCAGGAAGGCTTCCCCTGGAGGCGATTGAACTGCAAGCTCAAGGGCAAGTAAGAGTGACCTCGGGAAAATGATGCTTTAGGCAGGGGCGGGAGGAGATTTCTGTTTGGAAAGGTCCCTTGGGGGCCAGAAATGCGTGGGGGGCCAGATCAGGTGTCCCTCTGTGCACCCCACTGCCCCCTTTCCTTCTCGCAGAATAGAGTGACCACGTGGTGTTTACACATCTCTCTCCCTCCCCGGGCTGGGAGCTCTTTATCTAGATGGCTCAGGCTCCTCACCTGTGAAATGGGGCTAAGGCGGTGCGCAGTCCAGAGGCTAGGGGAGGATTAAGTGAAAGGGTCCCTGTGACGAGCCCTCAGCACAGTGCTGCCAGCGCCAAGTGCACGCTCACTGACGTTTCCTACGACGGTCATCCCCTGTCTCCTCAGGGTCAGGCTCCGGGCCTGGCATAGTCCAGGTACCTGGTTAATATTTGTGGTAGCATGAATGATTGAATGAACAGCTCAAAAGCAAGTGTTTCTAGAAGGTAAAGTGTAAGTCAGGAAGTGATGAGGCTGGGAAGGAGGCTAGGACCGGGTCGCAGAGGGCCTGAGTGTCATGCTGGAGACGTGACACTATCCTCAGGGCAGAAGAAGGGCCAGCACGGAGGCAGACAGTCATGGTTCTCCTTTCGTGCTTGACATCAGTCATTATGGTAGTGCTGTCATCATCCTTCCATTTCCAGTTGCTAAGTGAGAAAATTGAGGCTCAGAAAAATTGGGTGATGCAGCAAGATCACGGCAGAGCTGGGCTCAAACACCTCTGCTCCAAACTTCCAGACTTTTCTTTCCTAGACGGTGTTTGTTGAATGAGATGCTGCTGACTCACAGAGCCAGCTGCTCGTCCCATCACGGGTTCCTATTTTACGTCCTCAGCAGCTTGATGCCAGAATTACTGCCGCATGAGAGAAAGAACGCTTTACATGGATAATTGTTTGAACACCTAATTCTTCCAACTACCCTGTGAAGGGAGAGAAATATTAATCACCCCACCTCACAGATAAGCCAAGTGAGGCTCAGGGTGGGATAGGGGTGTGCCAAGGTCACCCAGCTACCAATGAAGGAAAGAGCTGGGGCTCGGCTCCCGGCCTGCTGACTCACAGAGTGGCAGTGTGCTCCTCCAGCTGGTCATCTGCTTCACTATCAGCCACCACTCTTTGGCAGGGGGTGGGCCTCTTGTCCTCCCACCAAGCATGAGTGGCCCCATCACGGCCTGTCTGGAAAGGGGCGGGGGGGGCCTCCTCTATCACAGACAGGAGGGACCTCACCCACCCATGTTCTCCCCAGGTACCTTCAGCGCTCCGTGGGCCGCCCTGGCCCACAGCCATGAGCAGTACTGCCTGGCCTGGGAGGCCAAGTACCTGATGGAGCTCGGCAACGCCCTGGAGACCATCCTCAGTGGTCTTGCCAACATGGTGGCCCAAGAAGCCCTGAAGTATACAGTGTTGTCTGGTAAGGCCCCCTTCCCTGCTGCCAGCAGCCTGCCCACTGCCCCCAACCCACACTGGTACCATACTTTGCATGCCTGAGGCCCCCAGGGAGCCAGGCACTCTGCTGGGCCCTGGGAACGTGGAGAGGTTAAGGCTGCATTCCTGTCTGTGAGAAGTTTATGGTCTTTGTCAGGAGGGGATAGGTAAAACAGCCAATTGCCTTATCACATTGTGTATCAGCCAGCTATTGCTGCATAACAAGCTACCCCAGAACTCAATGACTTAAGATAACAGTTATTTATCATAATAGCTCAGGAGTCATGAGGCTGCATCTGGCTGATCTTTGCTGGGTCTGCTCATGCATCTCTGGGTCAGCGACTGTCCACTGACGCAGGCTAGCCTCGTGTGGGGCAACTAGGGCAACTCAGCTCTGCTTCATTTGTTTCTCCTCCTCTTCCTGGGATCAGCGGGCTAGCCCACACCAATGGCAGAAGTGCATGAGAGGATGTACAAGTCCATTTCAAGCCTCACATCTACTAACATCTTCTTGGCCAAAGCAAGTCGCATGGCTGAGCCTAGAGAGAATAGGCAGGGCAGGCCGGGGGACTGCAGAGTTGGGAACCAAAGTGGGAGGATATAGGGTGGAGTGACAAACTGGGGCCATCTTGGGAATCTCACACATGACGGGTGCTTAACAGAAGGAATCTAGTCCATGTGTCAGAAATGTGTGAGCTTCAGTTTTCTTCTTTGCTATTTAGCAGTTTGACAACATTTGGAAAACTTACAGATGGCAAGTTAAAGATGCTGCATGCATTTACTCAGACATCCATTAGCCAGCCAATCACTTCTCTACGAAGACCGCCCCCTTGCCTTCATCACTGCTATCCCACCTCCCCAGGCATTGTGGCTGCCCTGACCTTACCAGCCTCACTCCTCAGTGTCGCCAACGTCATCGACAACCCCTGGGGGGTGTGTCTCCATCGATCAGCAGAGGTTGGCAAGCACCTGGCCCACATCCTGCTCTCCCGACAGCAGGTACCTGGGAATGGCTGTGGGTGGGGGGCAAGAGGGGAAATGAGGAGCTGACTTGTGCACAGACGTCACGGAGGTGGAGGTAGCCCAGTGGTTTTGAGGGAGTGGGTGGTCTCTGTTGCCTCTCTAGTTCAAGTCATGAAAGTGTCCTAGGATGGACCAGTAGGAATTAGAGACTGTGCATCTCTAGCAGATAATTAGGTGAGGACTGAATAACAGAGGCACCTGCAGGTATGGACAAGCCCAGGTGCTCCTTCCTAGAGCTACAGAGCTACCATCTGAGCACATCTTCAGTGGTCCAAAGACCACGTAAAATGCTCAGAAAGAGAAATCGTCATAATGCTTTTAAATTTTGAATCCAGTAAAGATGTACTTACCAAGGAAACGAAACCGCCCCCTTCAAAATAAACTTGAGTGAATGGAGACAAGTTTGAGAAATAGTATCAGAAATGACTGTATGGGTAGAATTAGTGTTGGCTACAAGTGAGAGGAAACCCAAAATAACAGTAGCTTAAACAAGATGGAAGTTTCTTTCTCATGGAGAAGCCTAGGAAGGCAGTCTTGCACCAGAATGGTGTGCCATGGTCAAGAGGCCCGGGTTCCTTCTGTCTTGTTGCTCTGCTGTACATGGTCTTGACCCCATGGTCCAAGATCCAGCATCTGAGCTCCAAGTAGCAGGAGAGGGGAAGGGCTGAAGAAGGAAAAGCAAAGGCCTTACAGCATTTCCATCAACATCCCACTGGGCAGACCCTAGTCATGTGACCATACCTACTGCCACAGAAGCTGGGAAATGTAGTCTTTATTCTGGGTGGCAATGAGCCCAACTGAAATTCAATTATTATGGGAAAAAGGGAAGATGGATATTGAGGGAAAACCAGCAGTTTCTGCCACAATGGGTAAGTTGCTTGAGAAACGGATAACCCCATCCAATCCCGTATCTTTGCCAGGATAGAGAAGTCCTTTGGCAGCTTTGGCTGTAAGGCAAAGACCGGAGAGGCATCGGCTTAGATGAGATGCAGGTTTATTCTCTTCCACGTGACAGCCTGGGTGTCAGCATCGAGAGCAGTAAGATGGGTATTCATTTCCCACTGCTGCTGTAACAAATGATTGCAACCTTGCTGGCTTAAAACAACACAAATTTATTACCTTACAGCTCTGGAGGTCAGAGGTCTGAAATGGGTTCACAGGGCTGGATTCCTTAGGGAGGCTCCAGGGAGCATCTGTTTCCTTGCGTTTTCCAGCTTCCAAAGGCTACCTCCGTTCTTTGGGTCATGGTCCCCTTTCTCCATCTTCAAAGCCAGTGTAGCATCTTCAGATCTTTCTCTCTGACCCTTTCCTTCCATCATCACGTCGCCTTCTGTGTAACTCTGACCCTCCCGCCTCTGTCTTGTAAGGACCCTTATGATCACGTTGGGCTCTCTGATAATCTGGGATAATCTCCTCGTCTCAAGATCCTTCACTTGACCCCATCTGCAAAGGCCCTTTGCTATATGCATTCACAGTGTCCAGGAATTAGGATGGGGCCCTCCGTGGGGGCTCTTTACGTGGCCTGCCACATTGGCAGCTTTACAGCTTTGGGACCCCAGACTCCTTCGATCTCGTGGCTGCACGTCCTCAGTCCTCAACCTCTTTCTTGTGGTCCAGGATGCATCTTCTAGCATTTTATCTGCATTCCAGACAGTCAGAGGCTGGAATGAAGGGCATGCCTGGAAGTCACACCTATTGCCTCCCGTCACCTCCCTTGGCCAGGACACAGCCCTGTGGCCATCCCTAGCTACCAGGGAGTTAGGGAAACTTAGTCTTTGGCTGGGTAGCTGTGTGCCCAGTAAAACTCGTGAGTTCTATTACCAAAGGACAGAGCGAGAATGGGCCTTGGGAGATGACTGACAGCCTTTGCCACAAAGTTCCTGCAGAATTGGAATACTCTCTGACGGAGGGTTGTCTATGGCAGTAAGTGGAGAGTCGGGGGAGAGAGGACACATGTGTTGGCACAAAAACAGGGAAAAGGCATAGACTGCTGAGACCAGGCTGGACCTTTGGAGCTCATCTGCTCCTTCCTTCCCTTCCTTGTAACACTTGTGCCATATGCCCCAGATAACTTGCTTTTTCCCATGAATTGCCTTGTCTACAAGTTCTTTAGTCAGAAAATTCTTCTTTACGTCTAACTTACTACCTTCTCTTATCATGGAAAGTCACTATTTCATGTCCCACCTTCCTATCTAGAAACAGAACAGTTGTCCCTCCAACGTCACTCTTTGCCTTTTCACCCATCACCCCTGGGGTCCCTTCTGCCCCCTCTCCCTGGCTCCAGCAGGGCCCCACTTCATAGCTGCTGTTTGCCACAAGATGGATGAGTCCTGTCTCCTGGGGAGGAAGAGATGGCAGCTGAATAATGGTTTGAGATGAAAGACTTAACCCAGCCAGAGGCTGGCTGTCGGCTTCAGAGGAAGCCGGTTCCAGCGGCGGCTTCACTCCTGCATGAGTAAGGGCCAGACTCTCCTGATTAAGACATCAGAGCTCGGGGGCCGGCAGTGGCACATGAGTGACTCTTTAAGCTCAGGGCAGGCACTGAGGAGTGTGCAAGGGTCCCCTCCTCAGGGCTGATGTTCTGCTGGAACTGGCTGTGCCCACCCTCGCTAGACACCTGTGTCCTTTCTCCTCCAGGGCCGGCGACCTGTCACCCTGATTGGCTTCAGTCTGGGAGCCAGAGTCATCTACTTCTGTCTGCAGGAAATGGCTCAGGAGAAAGGTGAGTGTGGCTCATTGTCACAGGTGAAAACCCTCCCCAAGTTCATCCCCCCCAGCCAGAGGTTCTGGACCAGGGGTCAGGAGTCTGGTAAATTTGTTCTTAGGTACAATAGTTAAAAGTTAAAAATAGTTTGAAAATAGACAAAATAGTTAACTCATTTGGAAAATGGTTTGTTTCTTCTGAACATAAACTCGAGTCCTGTAATAATGACGTTGACCTCTGCGTTCTGATGTGCACTCTTGAGTGGGAGGGAAGGGAGTGGGAGAAGTCTGAAATCAAGGTGTCGGCAGGGCCATGCTCTCTCCTAAGGCTCTCGGGAGGGTCCTTCCTGCCTCTTCTAGCTGCAGGTGACTGCCAGCGGTCCTTGGCGTTCCTCGGCTCTTAGATGCAGCACTCCAATCTCTGTCTTCATCTTCACACCGCCTTCTCCTTGTGTCTTCTAAGGACAGTGTCATTGGATTTAGGGTCCACCTAAATCCAGGATGATCTCATCTCAGAATCTTTAACTAGTTACATTTGCATAATTTAATTATATCCTCAAAGACGCCTTTGCCAAATAAGGTTTCATTTACAGGTTCCAGGAGCGCATATCTTTTGAGGGGCCACCATTCAACCCACTGCAGACACCTTTGGGAGTGTGTCACGCCGTCCATTGATGTACTTTCAGTGTTGAGGCAGTGGAAAGCTTGAGTGCCACTGCTCTGGGCCTTGGGCGGGTGAGATATCCAGGGCAGAATCCTGGTTTGGGACAGATCTGTCAGCAGAGGCTGCTCGTAGGAGGGGGTTGGGGGAGTGAGGTCAGAGCTTGAGGCACTTGGGGTGGTCCACTGTTCATGGAACCTACTGACCTCTCTCCTGGTGGAGCATAGCGGCAGGACCTTGAAGGCAAGAGAAGGGACTGAGACAGGGACTCCTAGGCCTGAGAGCAGAGGGTGGATGGAGAGAGGGGCTGGAGTTACAGCCCACATTCTCCCTTGGGATTTCCTTGAATGCCTCTCTGAGCCTCAGCTTCCCCACTTACAAAATAGTTAATACCCACCCCGTGTACTTGCTTTGAGGAACTGTGAGGTGCCCCACGTAGAGGATTTTTGCAAATTGTAAAACCCTTCATGGACCAAATGCAGCTCAGGTATGTCAGTTTGCAGCTTCTGCCCTTCAGAATTTCTGCCAAGCTGAGGGTACCCTTGAAGATGGCCCCTGGCCACTCTCCTTGGTCAGCCCGAGTGTGTGGTCTGATTGCTGACCAATTGCTAGCAAGCAAGGAGGGTGGGAATGTTTGCCGATGGCTGGACCTGAGGGAGCCAGATGAGTCAGGCGGTGACTGGTGTTATTTTCAGCATCGGCATCGCCGAAGGGCGTGGGACACACCCTGATGCTTACTGGCGTGATTCTTTCCTGTTCTTTACCTTTTGCGAAAATGTCTCCTCCACATCACCTTAGACTGAGGACCGGAGCTGTTTTCCTGGCTGCAAAGGCAAGGTGGAGGTGCCGTCCTCGGCGTTCACCGTGGAAGGGCCAGGCCCTTTGTGTGAGCCCTGCAGTGAGCCTCACCACCCTCTGCCGTCACAGAGGACACTCTCCCCCCTCGGAGCTTTCCACAGCCCCTTATCCCCTGGTTTTGTCCACATCGCTAAGCAAAGGGGAGGCACCTCTGTCTCATTTCCAGTAACTCTGGGTAACCTGGGACCACCATGCGTAAGGGCCTGGGGAGCCAGCCCTGAGCTGCGTTCACCAGGAAAATCCAGGCTGGGGTCAGAGGTCAGGCAAAAACCACCGAGAAAGCGGGGCTGAATTTGGGGCTCTGGTAAAGGCGAGTTTCTGTTTCCACCGTGGAAACATTGTACCTACCCTTTCTATCTGCACTGTTCCCCCACCCAGGCAGCTCCAGAGATGGAACAAGTCGAAAAGCCGTCCCTCACCTGCCTTCCCTGCTCTGCCTGGTACAGATAATCACCACTGGGAACCCCCTGGCTACCCGCGATGTCTCCCCGCCCTCAGCTCTTCATCCCCTCCTGTAAAAGGCTTTGTTGAGCTGCAGAAATACCACTGTTTCCTCCTGCATAATGCTGTTCTGTGTGCCTCTGACTTGGCGCAAGTGATAACTATACTGTCAGAACCTCTCGGGAAAATTAGGGGGACAGCGTTTCTCATATAGGACACAGAATGTTTGTTAAACATGTGTGGGTTATAGAGAGGCAGGATGGGTGTATCAGTCAGCTGTTGCTTCAGTGATGCTGTCTAACAAGCCACTCCTCATACTCAGAGGGTTACAACGCCAGATATTTTCATGCTCAGGATCTACAGGTTGGCTGTGGTTCAGCTGCTCTAGAATCAGCCCTGTTTCTGGCTGCAGGTTGGGTAGGCGTGGCTCCAGGCTGCAGGCTGCGCTCAGATCTGCTCCATGGGTATTTGTCACGGTGAGGCTGAAGGGGCACCAGCCACTCAGGGTATGCTCTTCCTATGGTCGATCGCTGGAGTGCCAGAGCCAAGCTGAGCAACGCATGCACGTTTAAGACCTCTGCTCATATCGTATGTACTCACATCCTGTATCAGTTACTCATGCTGCAGACAGCCTCTCCAGAGTGGGTTGAAACAGTGATAACTGATGATTTCTCATGATTCTGTGGGTTGACTCGGCAGCTCCTCTCCTGTTCGCACCTGGGCTCCCTCTTGCAGTTGCAGTCAGAGCTGAATTGCTTGGAAGGTCCCAGTTGACCTCACTCCCTGGCGGGTCGTTGGTACCGGCAGTCACCTGGCAGGCCTCAGTCCTTCCCAGGGGCCCTCTCATCCTCCGTAGGCCTGTCTGACTTCCCACGTGACATTCTCAGGGCAGCGTTTCAGGAGGGCAAGAGTGGAAGCTGCAATTCCATCGGCCAAAGTAAGTGCTGGCCGGGTCAGCAGAGTGGGGCAGTGCACTCTGCTGGCAGCGGACGGGGAGGGGAGCGAATATTTGCCAAATAGTAATCTGAACTCTCACTCTGGGATAGAGGAGAGCTGGGCTTCGCAGTCAGCTGAGACCTGGGTCTGAGTCCTGCCTCTGCCCAGCTGGGTAGCCTGGGGTGGACAAGGACACAGCCTCCCTGGACGTCCATCTCTCCATGTGCAACAAGAGGTTAATGGCACCTTTCTCGCCCAACCTCCTCAACCCATACCACAAAGTAAAACAAATAAAAACGTGGGCATACACATACTCACAAAAATACGCTCACACGCATGCGTGTTTACACATACACCCTCCAACGTGGCCCTCATCTTTCTGCTGTTCCCCACATCCTCTTTCCAGCAATCCAGCAAGCCTCTGGCCTCCAGGCTTCACAACTTACCATCCAGTCCCCACCGATTCCACAGACGTGGGCCAGGCACAGCTGGAAGGACGGCAGCAAGGTGCAGGTCTTATGGTCGTTAGGTGACAGGGCCACATGGCTCTTCCCCACCCAGAGCTCCCAGCTTTGATACTGCATGTGTGCAGGCTCTGGGTTAGGACATCTGGTTGGAATCTCAAACCTGCCACTAGGCAAGTCACCTAACCTCTGAAGTCCAGGTGACTGGTGAAACACAGCAAATAATAGTATCGACATCGAAGTTGTTGTGAGGATTAGATGCAATAGTGCATATAAATACTGGCATATAATAAGAGCTCAGGAATTCTTGTTGAGCATTTATATTATGCTAAGAATTGTCTTAAGCTTTATAAAAGGGAGCTGGCACATTGTGTTAGAGCACCCCACACACACATGGGTGACATGGCCCTTGGACCTAGTTGAGGAAAAATTGGCCTCCCACAAGGGTTGGGGCCTGCACATTCTTGTCCTTTCTCTCGCTGCACCCCCGTTCTCCCCTCTTCCTTGACAACCCCCGCCTAGGTCCCGGCCTTGGGTTACTGATGGGGCATCTTCCAGTCTCCAGCTGGCTGTGATCGGAATGAATTATTCACCCTTTGCCCGGAGCTGCTGTTTCACATCTAATTCATTCCGGCTCAGCTGTCTGGTTTCAGGCAGCCCTGCTTGTTTAACACCCAGTTAATCTGCACAGTGAGGGGACCCTGTCCTAATTGCAGGAAAGCTGTCATTATCTGAGTTAGGAGATGTCAAAGAGGAATTACTCTAATGCATTTGAACCCACTAACTGTCTTCTGGATTCCCTTGAGACCTAGTGATGCAATGTAGCGGTCGATCCTGCTGAGTCACCCAGAGCGCGTAATCCTCCAGCCAGCCTCCCCTCCCCCCTCCCTCCTGGCTGTAGCTCATCCTTGCTGCCCTCTCCCCCAAGAACAGCTGCCTGTGGAGTTAACTGTCTCCACTGCAGCCTCCTTTCTGGGTCATGTTGCAAACAGCGTTACTGCTTTGGGGATGTGCCACCATTCACAGGGTGCCCCTCACAGCCGGGGCTGCCCTTCCCTCAAGCTCAAGCTCAAGCTCAGTGGTCAGCTTCCTTTCAAATCGCTGTCCAGACTATAAGCCCCTTGTGGGCAGGGGTCATCTCTGACCAACGTCTATGCCTCCTGTGCCTGGGATAAAGCCAACAGAGAGTGCATGCCTTATAAGTGACTTGAGCCTGAAGTCTAGTGTTATAAGCACTCACACTGTATCAGTCAGGTTATGCTGCAGTGACAAACATCCCCACAATCTTAAAAGGTGCAACACAACAGAGGTTCATGTCTCACTCGTGCTGCCTGTCCACTTTGGGTAGGCAGGGGGCTCTGACGGTTGTGGTCACTCCAAGACCTGGGCTGATGGAGGCACCCTCTCAACATGTGGTTCCTCAGTAGGAGACAGAGACCAGGGTGAGTTGTGCACAGGCTCTTGACACACTTTCACCTAGAAGTAACACATGTCACTTTCACTCATGCTTCATTGGCCAGGGAAAGCAATGCACGTGGACATTCCTAACATCCAGGAGGGGCCAATAAATGGATTCCCAGATGTGCTCAGAAGGCAGAGAGCCAGAACTGTGTTGTGAATAGCATGAGTGACTGCCACACGCATCTTCTGTCCACTGGG